AAGAGTTCTACTCCCTGTAGTAGCTTCAGGAGACCACAGCCATGGAACGAGGCAGATCACCAGGATCCTTCTTCCAGAAACACTGCCCAACAAACACATGCCTGCATCGAGCGTGCCTGGCTCCAGCCCATCTCTCCATGCACAGCATCCTGTCTCCTAGCACCCACAGCCCATGTGCTTCCCCACTCACATCCCAGCACTGGCTGTTCCTCAAAACCATCATGTATTTGGCACAAGGATGCTCCCCAGGACAACGCAGCACAGCTCACACCCTTTGCACACCCTGGGCAAAGAACCTCCTCCGTGGCCAGACCGCCTCTGTTCCGCTCCGTCCCCCTTGCAAACCCACACAGCTTACCGACCACGGAGCAGGACACTTTCCTCTTGGCTGAGGCATTTGGGTGCTCCTGCCAAGGCAGGACAAGCATCTGCAGCATGTCCTGCTTCCCCAGCCAGCAAAAGCTGAGCTGCTGCCAGCAAGGGAGGAGGCTTCTGTGGGTATGAGATCGCTGGCAAAATGCTGATGCATCTGTGGCTGACTCCTTACACACGCTCATCCGCCCCTGAACTCATGCCCTTTCTCCTCCATTCCCCTCCTACTCCTGTTTTTAGGCATTCCTTTCCCTCTGTCTCCATGTCCTTAGAGCTGCTTGGGCATCTGCTGCAGCAGCACTGCAGAGGTCCTGCTGTGTAGGTGCCTCCGCACAGCACCATCCTCCACACTGCAGCCACGGTGCCTGCCTCAGGGAGGTTGGCACAGGGACATGTGAGATATGAGAGCATCTGGTTCAGAAAGTTATTTGGTGAAGGATTACTCTGTATCATAGAAATAACAAATAATGAGGAAAACACTGAATTAAACACACAAACATTAACGAGCAGGTGATAATAATGGAGGCCAGAGCTTGTCAGGCAGTGAGTGATGGGCCATTAAAAGAACTCCTCAAGTCTTGGAGAGGGTCAGCCTGGATTTTGTACCTGATAAGAAGGGGGAAACATAATTAGTGTGACTATTAAGTGTGAAGGAGTTTGGTGGACTGCATGAAACTTACAATGGGATGTGTAGGGGAAGGGCCAGGGTGGAATGAGTGTGGGCAGACAGCAAGGAGGAAGCTTGGAGGGCTGAGACACGTGAGATGGCTGTTGGGCAGGACATTGCCCTGCATGTCTGGCCTGTCTCCTTGTTAAACCCCATTCTGAGTTACCTTTTCAGTGTCATCTCAACTGTCTACCCTGTGTGCCAGCCTGGGGAGAAGGGGCCATGTGTGACAGGGACCACGGGTCTGGGTGCCAGCACCAGAAGGATGGCAATGTACATGTTTATCTATCTGAGAGGTGTAAGTGCCAGCACCTGCAGCAACCAGACCGTGTCTGTATTTCCTTAGTGAATGTAGTCCCATGTGCATGTAATGTGCTAGGAAACATCAAGCTGCTCTAGCTGGTGAGCAGAAGACTTGAGGTCTGAGCCAAAGCTTCGTACAGGGCATTGGACAGGGTTTTTGAGGGATCTATGAGTGTAGAGTGCTGTGAAGGCAGAGAATATGGAGGAAAAAGAGCCACAAAAGCATCAGCTAGCAGATACTCTATCCCAGCAATGAGACATGTAAAACACTGGCTGAAGAGAGTATCTGTACAAATGGTGAGGTTTGTTCAAAGTTACATTGCAGGGGTTTTTTGGTGCCAACTGGAACTCTCCTGACAGCAGACATTCACCAGCCTCCCTCCCAAGTGCTGCTCGAGAGCGTGCTGTGCTTCAGGCTTGAGGTAAATGCAAATTCTCAACTGCAACAAGAAAGAAAATGTGTTTTATTAAGTTAGTTACAGCTTGCCAAGAGGTGCTCAGCACAGGCAGGATACTAGGAAAGCAGATCCTACAAATAAATATAAACCCAGTGGAACTGGGCTAAGACTTCTATGCAAAGACCATAAGGCAGCTCCACTTGAGCTGCTTTCAGTCGGACTTCACTTGTAGCAGACAATGTGAGGAACAGCGGCACCAAGGGCTTGCTGAGTTAGAAAGTTGTCTTTAGGGAGTTTGAAGCCAGTCAATCATTTTCAGCACCTTAAAACAAGGGCACCGTGTTTGTGAACCAACCAAAGGGTTCAGGTGCAACTGTCTTCAGAGCTGGAGAGACAACTCCACTGAGGTACCAGAGTGAAAATTGAAATGCCTAAACTGTCTTTTGGCGTGATGCTTTGAGCTGCTGTGGCTGCAAAGCAATCAGATAACCACAGTATCGCTTTCAGACAACACTGCTCCATAATGAATTTGAGTGAAGGCTGCAAACATGGAAAATCAGCCTAGAACACACTAAGGCAGCCTTTATTTCCCCAGTGTAAAGGGGTGAATTCAGAGAGGTTGCAGCCTTGCCAATTCACTTGGGGCTGTCAAACACAAAGCCTGAAAAGTAGGTCTTGGAAAAGTTTGTTTTACCTCCTTCTATGAGCTTCAACAGGCACAGAAAGCATTTATTCTTGTCTTGTACAAACCAATCAAGTGAATTAGAATGAGACTAAGTAGATCCAACCCAAACCACTCTGTGATTCTAAGAATTAACTCAGGCACACACTCTTATGCTGGATTAATGTTACCTTGTGATCGCAGACACGCTTGAACTCAGCCAAGAACTCTTGTACCTGTTTCTTTTTAAAGAGAGGAACTCTTTAGCTTCATAGCTAAGGCCATTACACAGCTACAGTCTTTAGAAAAAGACAGTGGTTTTAAGTAACCTGAAATATAGGATGGACTGGAGTGAAATATGGATATAAACTGGATGACAGTGGACAATTCCAAACCAAAACTGTCACTGCCAATATAAAACCTGCTGCTTTGCTAATGGAGTAAGTGAACTCCAAAATTCATCATCAGTCCTGACAAAGGCTGTGTTTGTAAACGGGTCTCCAGCAACAATTATGATGCTTTTCACCTCATTAATCTTTCCAATATTACAGTCAGATTCAACCTTTGAGGACAGTGACAATGCTGAAAAATGCGAGTAATAAAATCTAGGTAATTCTCCTAAAAACTCTCCCAAAGTGAGAACATTTGCCAACTTGTACAGAATCAGCATCTCAGAAGTGGAACATGAATTCTCATGCTACTGTTTCAAAATGATCTCCACGGGCTGTATGAAATGCAGACTCATTGTTTTAAAACCTAATACAAGAATGCATCCAGCAGTATTGCAGAACCACTGAGCTGCAGTCAGGTGAAATGAGGGAAGCCCAGAATAATCTTTCACATTAGTTTCAGGTTTTTAATTCTTCCTATAAAAGGAAGGTAAGCTCTAAACCGGTTACCTGCAGCTTTAATTCCTGTTCTTGAATGAGCAGTTATGTCTTTTCTACAGACTGAGAAAATGGCTATAGCAAACATTCTCACGTATTCTGCGTGTGCCAAACGAAGTGATTTCTGTCAATGCATTTGAGTTGGGTATAAAACAATCTGGTTTTGTGATTTTAAAAGCTTTCTCCATATCCACTGGAAGATTTTTTTTCTGTAGGAATCTATGAAGTTAACAAAGTGCCATCCACTCTCTGAAAGTGACAAAATAGATGGATTATCCCGATAATTGTTCTGTTCCCACTATTTAATGGCAAAGTATGCAGAATGTCCTCTCTTAAAAGGTATCTCCAGAGCAATCCAAATAAGAAATCATCATAAAAATATGATGTAAAATTTACTGTAGCAATGCTTTATTGCTGTCACTGCAGTAACTCTATTTACATACCATTAAAACCTGCCTGGAGTAAAAAAAGCTTCACAATTGCTTCTGAGTTCCTTTCAGTCATTCCTCTATCAAAGCTCATACAAGATAGTTAAGACTTCCCAGGCAGCCAAAATAAAGTGACCAGATCATCCTCATCTGTCATCAATGAGATCTTTCGAATACTGCACCCATACTACTATGCTGATGGTCAGTTACCCAGTTTTGGCATCTTGAAGTATTTTACTTAAATTCCCTAAGGCGTGAAGGTAAGTATGGTACCTCGTGTTCACCAGGCGTCTCAGAGGGGCGCGTGCACGGACAGCTTCTGCAGGGTGTTCAAAGCAAATGTTACATATCCACATTTAGAAGACATGAATTGTGCCCAGCAGAGCAAATGTCTCCCCATTCACAACAAAGAGTTTACAAATGACAAGATCAGGTGTAGATGTTCACAATGTGACATCTGAAGTTAGATGAGTTCTGCCCAGAAACCCCACATACCATCTGTGTAAGTTCTCTAACCTTACATATTACAAAGTATGGATTTCATGTTCTCTCTGCAGTTTTACACTCCCTCATCCCACCATATGTAAATCCCTCCCCCCCCCAAAAAGGCATATGCTGCCATGTCAGTTAATACTTCCTCCTCCAGTAATTAGCACTTGCACCTGACAAAAATACTCTGAGGATCCCTTACTTATTGCTCAAAAGGACATTTTTGTTGTGACTGTTTCTATCACAATAACCAGTTTTTAAATCAGCAGCTCAGCCCTGGTCCTTGCTGCTTGACTGTCCAGTGTTCTTCACTAAGCTGTTTCCTTGTTATTCCTACTGATCTCCAAGGGAACTTCAGTTAGCATTTGGGCCTTACTTTAGCCCTATGTAGTCTCATAACCCTCAGCTATACCAAGAGACAGCGTCAACAAGATTATGCTGTTTTGAATGAAGATTGCTGCCTGTACTTATAATGGACTTTACACACAGTTAAACCAAATATATGATGCTCATTTACCAGCTTTTTACCTTTATGTCAAAATATCTGTAACTAAAAAATGAGGGATAATAAGACTTGGTAACAGCAGGAAAAAAATGGAATTCCTATGTCTATAGTTCCAGGCTTCTCTGCATTTCCAGTATTCCCCCTTCTATCTAAGAAGCACACCAACACTTCAGGTAAATCAGATTGTTTAATCTCATTTACTTTCAGATTCTAACAAGCAGATTTATTAAAAAAAAAAAAAAACAAACCAAAAATAACCAAACCCCATGCAAATCAGAACAAAACTAAAACTAATACACATAAACTTTCACTTTGTGGACTTCTTTGTCTTCACATTCTCTTTGCTTGTTGTAATAATAGAAAGTATTGTCCCTTCTCTGAAGTTTCTTAACAAATCCAGTTTCTGGCCAGTACTCTACCTATGAATAAATGAAAAGGGTACACATTCACCTGAATGTGCTCACATTAAATGATGTTTGTGCATTATATTGCAAGGGATATAGAGTGTAATTCCATTTGCATCTAACCACTACTTTGCTATGAGCTTGCTTAACTTTTAAAAAAGGATTGAGAACAAGATGTCAAAACCAGTTTTCTTGTCTGAATTACAGAATTATAGATCAGAGTTATATGATTAAGAATTATATGATCAGAAAAGTCTAGAGATAAGGATCTAAGAATATTTGATAGAGTAATTTAAATAAGCGGGCTAGTCAAAGCTTTTAAAATACCTCCTTTACAAATAAAACATTGGTACTATTCAGTTATTCGGTAATCCGAGAAGCTGAAAGATTCCACTTCTGTAAGACTGACACATGCTTAAGGGTTTCTTTGGGATCCTTCTGACCACGAAAAATGTGCTTCTCCTTAGCAATTTTATACTAATAAAACGAGTGATATATATCATGGTCTCACAGACAGCAGGATCAGTCCTGCAGGAAACCAGCACCATCCTGATGCTCTTCAGTGTTCCACAATGTGAGACTTTAAGGCTTGAGCATTCAACAGGCTTGTAAGTTCAACAGCTGTGGTAGCTGTTTGCAGCTTGAACACCTATGACTACTTCTGATCCAATTGAACCTTAAAAATCAAGTAATGAGGATCTTATTTCTCTTCCCAGCAGAGTTAACAAGAGGATGTCACACTACAGCATTCTCTAACTGAAGAGTGCCAGAAGTGGTAGTTTCATCACTGAGCTTATTACTTCAGGCATACAGCAGAGTTATTTGCATTCTCTGCCTGAACATAACAGCCTTAATATTAATTCCATCTATATTATAATTGCATCATTAGTAACAGCTGCATTATGGAAACAGAATGTGGAGTAAACAAAGACATTTCAAGATGTAGAAGTTGAAAGAGAAGCACTGCCAGATCCTGGCAAGTTTGAACAGAATTCATGCTCGTTTTACAGAGTAAGTGGTGTTCTTTAACTTTCATCAGGGTTTAATTGGCTGTGGTTATGACCTGCCATAAACCTCAAACAGGCTGATCCTACCACACTAATTACAGTATTTCCTTTTGCACAGTTAAGGGAATTTACACCACAGCCTTTACAGTAGTATCCCAGACCACGACCAAATAATGAACTGCATCATTTTACGCACATCAGTGTTCTGTCGTGTTTTCACTTCACTGGGTAAGGAGTAACTTTGTAATGACTTTTTAGGAACATTCTGCTCTTTCTTATGTTAAGATCTTCTAAAAGTGGATTTTTCATACTATATATGCTGCTTTGGAAGATAAATTCCAGAGCTCTAATAAAGACAGTATGTTGTTTGCTATACAAAGCTCTTGGTTGCTATTTTGAATCTCAGGTAGCCACTGAATATCTCTAATAGCCATTATTCGTTAACTCACTTGAAGTGCTACAGAGAATTGCCACCAAGTGTAGTGAGCGGAGGACCAAGCCCTTGATGTTCTCCATTGACAAAAGCCTGTGTCACAGCTCCCTTTACTGAGATCAAATATTTCTGTTGTGGACAGTTTCAAAAGCAGCCAAGTTTTGAGTGTGCACAAAGTCTGATTATGCCACCACACAATTCAGCTGTAAAACTGCAGTGGTAGCAATGGCACAGGACTGACTGCCCAGACAACAAGTGAGTTTCCCGTCAGCTCTACTGGCAGAGTAATATGGAAACTTCACAGAGAACTCACTTTGATACACTCCTTTCCTCAAAACTGAATTATTCTTTTAGATAGCAGCTACATCCGTTCAGATAAATTGATAATGCTTCCAAATCCTAAGAGAAGGGGAACAAAAGCACAGGCTAGTTGGTGTTACTGTTTCACTTCTGTGACATAAGTTATTCTGCAGCTAATAGCAGCTCAAGAATTCAAGTCAGACCTTGGAGAAAAAACTGCATCAGAAATGGCAGGAATAAAAGGAATGAATGGAATCCTAAATGAAAGGAAAGAAGCAGCACCTCCATCTTTACTTAATCATTTAAGAGAGACAGAGTTTAGAGTAACAACCCTTGGAGAGCTCTAAATTTTACCATGTCAACTTGTTTCACTTGTTTATATTCAATCTCATCTCTGTAGCCAGCTTGCTGGAATCTGTATAAGTTCTCTACATCACCCGACCATTTCTTGGCACGATGTATAGATTTTGGTTTGATCTCAGCATTAGCCATGACTCCAGAAACTTCAGACATTTTCCTGAAATTAGATTTTTACAAATTAAATAGAGAATATTGAAGCAAACCGTTTTGTTGGGGACATACAGGAGTGGGTAGGGCAAAATTTTTAAGTAAAGGAATTACAGACAGGGCAATATTATCTTCCCTTCAAAGTCTGAGGTTAAAACACATTATAAGCGGTTGATCTCCAACAAACCCAACTCATCTAAATGCTATATACATCTTGACTTCACCTACCTAAAATGTATTTGTGTATATTAATCAATTAAAAATATATAAAATACAGTATATTTTTTATTATTATTATTTCACATCTTTGCAGTTGCTATCTCTTTGGGGCAGGCAGTTTTTCAGGTTTTTCTTGCTTCAAAATGAAGGGACATCAAACTGGGAACCACAAAAGGAATAGCTGGGCTGTAACTGAGGAACAGCAAACACTCAGGATGGGAAAGGAGGGGAAAGGAGAAATGCGGTGCCAGTCACATGGCCACAGCAGTGATAACACAGAAGTCTCACTAAATAAACTGGATAAGGAGGCAAGGCACAGAACCTCCCAAAATTCATCCTGTTCTACCCTTGCACAATGAAATCTGCACTGACTCCCTTCTCACGCAAACCCCACTTGTTCAGTCCGCTGAGAAATAATAAATAGGTTCATCAACTGCTAAACCTGAACTGAGCAGAAATGGGACAAGATGAAAAACTGTAAAATAACCCTAAACAAACAAATAAAAAGGAATAAAAGAAGGTAAAAAAAAAAAAAAGGAAAAAATTGCAAAGTCAGTGGCAGCTCACCAGGGATGTGTTTGAACTATACTTCTAAAAAAATATGGATCATTTGACTTCTTATATCTGTATTTCACTGCATTTGCTTTCCTGAGTATATCTTATTCTGCTACTATAGAGAGAACTTTACCACCCCCAGCAGATACAATCAGAAATCAGTCCTTTCCTAGTTTTGCAATGTCACCAAACTCCAGTTTCATCATTAGGAAGGTGTCTTCAAAGAAGGAGAAAAAGCCTCTTGGTTTTGTAGTGAGAGGATGAACAGAGTCTTGCTCCCTGTGGGTAGGATGCTGCCTCTAAATCCTGCACACTCAGTGAATTTTTCTTACTTAGCAAGTTCCTGTATCAACTGAGAGACTGAGAAGTTGAATGCTGATATCTTGTCAAACACACAAATCAGTCTGTTAGAAAGGCAGAAAAGGAGAAAAAAAAATCCCACCACAGCATACAGATCATTGGGAAAATTCTATAAAGAATGATTGTAATCATACTGTGGAAATAGCAAATGCCTGCATTTCTGTCATCTCGCTGTATGAGAGCCATTAGCACACAAAGAAAGGGCCTTTCATCTCTTACTGCATACACTTTATTAAAGATCAATAAAAAAATGCACAAGGGTTCTTTTCAGTGCAGTTCAGCACTCCAAACATTCTTTTACCAGGCTCTACAGCACTTTGTAATTGAAGGCAACTATTTGCTGTAAAAAAGAAAAAGAAAAAATAAGTTTACTCCCCATTTATGGGGTATCACATATATATCAACATGATGAGCAGATATCCTTGTTCTAGATCCATAGCATAGACCTTGAGATATCTATCTCAACATAATTTTCTTTCTCTTCTGCTGCAAAGGGCTCTTTTGTATCCTTTACAGCATTTTTTCATGCCTTGTATATGCTCATTGATGTTTGATGAGAACTGTTGTCAGTCTGGGACTTTAGCCAGTCAATATTATTAGCAAGAACATTAGTTCTTAATAAATGCTAAGTTATAATGAATTTAAGTGTCTTATGGTAACTTAAGTGTTAAGTACTTCCTTATGGGATGTACTGAATTCATCTAATGAATGTGCTGCTTCAAGACAGCTAGGTATGTGTGGCACTTCCTGGGTCACCATGAATTCAAATGGTCTGTCCACAGGTGTTACTGCTCAAAAAATATCTATCTATCTATCTATCTACCTATATCTTAAGGTCATACATTTAAAGGGCCAGTTTGGTGACTTCAAGTAATAGAAGTGTTGTCTTGATATCTGTAGTCTGCTATTTAAGCTCTTTAAAACTGCAGCTCCTTGTCTATGGTATATGGTAGCATGTCTTGAGTTCCAGGTTTTGTTGTACAAGGAGAGGAGCTGTGCTCCAGACAACCTTCCCTGCAATTCAGGGAAGGGACAGACAGCAGCCACATACAGGCAGATGAAAGAATACCAGACAGCAATAAGAAAATATTCATCATGATCCTAACATTTTCCATTGAAAGGGAATTGTTGAATACTGAAGTGAACTTTGGTAAGAAAACAATGTTTGCCTTAACTTAGGGGAAATACTAAGATTTCAAATACCTCTGTTTTGGCTTTGGGAAAACATTTTTTTTTTAATGTTAATCACAGCATAATTTCTATGGAATCCTAATTAGCCTGGCTGGCAGATGGTAGTTTCCTTAATGCTTATATAGGTTGTAAAGGTATGTGGGAGGAGAGTGTCTGCTCCATTAAGGGTGTCTGGCCAAGGACTTTTTTCAGTGCAACAAGGGATAATAAGAAAGGGAGGAAGCCATAAAACAAGAACATATGGAGGCACAAACCTGAGCAGCAAATGAGGGAGGTGGTGATGAGAACCAAACCTGGTCAGTCACACTAACTGATGGGGGGATGTGGGAGTGTGAGAGTGTTTATTCCAGAAAGGTTATCTGATCGGGGACCTTGTCAGTTGGAAAACTAAGGGGGAAAGGGGAAACCCAAACCAAAATATACATAGACACAGACCTGAAAAAACAAACATAGAGACCATAAAAAGAAACAAAGCTCACCACTCACACTAACTGATAGGCTATCAAGAAACTACAAACATCACCCCCCAAAGATCAGCCTGGACTTTCCAACTGGTAAGACTATAAACCTGGGGGAGCCCAGACTCAGAGGGGTGCAGGAATAGATAAGAGCTGTACAAACAAGGGAGGGATGTTGGGAGAGGGGGATGGGGGAGAGGAGCAAGGAGGAACAAAGATGGCAATAGACACAAAGGAGTATAAAGGAGGCCAGTTAAGTGTAGAATAGGGACAGTCAATACTTGCCTGCCTGAGCCCTGCACCTGGTCATTACAGCCTGCCCTATCTTCTTATATATTCATATTAAATATTTCCTTAACTGTCTCTCTGAGTAATCTTGCTCTGTGCCCCATGTGCATGTGTGTGCTGCAAGGACTAAATACCAGCTACTGGTGCGACCTGGGTAAGTGAAAAACTGGTGCCAGCTCCTGGAGTCAGATGGGGGGTATGGCCACACCAGCTTGTGGTGTCAGCTGCTGGAGAGAGCAAGAACAGTATGAGTCCTAAACAAGTCTGCTATTGAGGGAGGGCTGGCTGAATGAGGGGCTCTATGCCAGCAGTAGGAGCATGACTGTGGATCACAGCCTGTGTTGGGGAGGTGTCTCTTTCCCAATCCAGGTATACTTGGGGTGCATATCCATATTCACTAGCAAACCTTAAACTGGACTAGCCAGCAAGCAGGAGGAACCTCAGGTCCAGGCCAGGGTATCATGTGGTACACCCAAAGGAACTTGTGAACATGGGAGTACATGAGGAATGTATGAGTGCATGTTTGCTTGTGATCATCAACTGGACTAGCAGGCAATTAGGGAATACATGAGCCAGGCTGGGGGCCTGGGGTCTGTGCAGGGGTGCTGGGCAGACAGAGGGGCTGTGCTGGTGCTCAGAGGATCTACAAATACACACATGCTTGAGAACCTTGAGTGCTGTGTGTACCTAGTGAACTTGCGATGGATACCTGTTGAAGAGGAGGAAAGGGACTTGTTATCAAGTCCTGTATGGAGGTGCTGTTGAAGGCATCAGATCATCTGCTCCACATCATCCTCGGCCGCGCCTTTGGTCCCCACCCCCGTCTCTAACGCCTGCTCAGCCGTTAGGGGTTAAGCCTGTAAATGAACAGGCATCAACTGCATCCCTTGGCCCAGGCAGAAGCCCCAGGCGTGCCGGAGCAGGAGAGGTCCTGGGCTAGAGCAGATGGCCACGCTTCTCCAATCGCTTAACACAAGTCAGCATACACAGGACCTGTCTGAGATCCTAGACGACCCCATAAGAGGTTTCCATAATGACTTCCACAGACGTTACACGAGAGCTCCAATTCACCAGGATGCTCGGGCAGATGTCTAAGCCTGAGTCACTGCTGTGACCGCGCACGCACCCAGCTCCCAGCGCCACAACCCGGCTGCCCAGGCTTTCAAATGACCCACCTCGGTGTAAGGGCCGCAAAACA